GGTTCATTGGACAATATTTAGTTTTTCAGGTTTGGTCTATTTCTCATATACTATAACCAATAGGTCCACTATATTTGTTGTATGGAATGATTGTAAGGTGTACATCTCCGACTGTCAGGTTTGATCTGACCTGGACCTCATTTTCATGGTTTATTGAACAATGATTAGTTATTGTGGTTTGGTCTATTTTTATACGACCGCAAAAATTAAAAATTTTTTGGTCGTATATTGGTATGACGTTGGCGTCGTCGTCGTCGTCGTCGTCGTCGTCGTCGTCCGGCGTCGTCCGAAGACACATTGGTTTTCGCACTCTAACTTTAGTTTAAGTGAATGGATCTCCATAAGGTTCAATACCACGAAAGGAAGGTTGGGATTGATTGTGGGGGTTATGGTACCAACAGTTAAGGAATTAGGGGCCAAAAAGGGGCCAAAAATAAGCATTTTTGTAACTTCCAGACAATAACTTGTGTGTAAGTGTATGGATCTCTCTGACATTGTACCACAAGGTTCCGTATCACAAAGGGAAGGCTGTAATTGATTTTGGGGGTAATTGCCTCAAAATTTTAGGAATTAGGGGCCAAAAAAGGGGCAAAAAACAAGCATTTTTCTAGTTTCATGACAATAACTTGTGTGTAAGTGTTTGGATATTTCTGAAATTGTACTACAAGGTTCCATATCACAAAGGGAAATCTGGAATTGAGTTTGGGGGTAATTGCCCAAAACGTTTAGGAATTGGGGGCCAAAAAGGGGCCAAAAATAAGCATTTTTCTAGTTTCCAGACAATCACTTGTGTTCAAGTGTATGGATCTCTCTGAAATTGTACTGCAAGGTACCATACCACAAAGGGAAGGCTGGGATTGAGTTTGGGGGTGATGAATCATAAGGGGGTTCAAAAAAATTTGGGGGGGGGATTTTTTTCTTATTCTTTTTTTTTCTTTTTTTCCTTTTTTTTTTCTTTTAAAATTTTCCATTTTAAGTTGGTTATTTCTGATTAATATTTAAAAGCAAATAATAATGATATGGTAGGAGATACACACCAAACAGGATGTGTAAATTATTATATAATAAGTATTGTGCAATAGCAAGAAATTTTCAATTGCACAGTATTGCACAATAGCAAGAAATCTTCAATTGCACAGTATTGCGCAATAACAAGAAATATCCAATAGCACAATATTGCACAATAGCAAGAAATTGTCAATTGTACAGTATTGCACAATAGCAAGAAATATTCAATTGCACAGTATTGTGCAAAAGAAGATACTTCGTATAAATTGCTTATTTCTTGATCAATTTCAATGGGGTTTTATTCTTGAATTCTTAGGGTTCTTTAATATGCTGAATCTAACCGTGTATTAAGTTTTTGGATTTTGGGCCCCGTTTTTAAATTGGTCCACATTGAGGTCCAAAGGGTCCAAAATTTAACTTTGTTTGATTTCATCAAAAATTGAATTATTGGGGTTCTTTGATATGCCGAATCTAACCGTGTATTTAGATTCTTAATTTTTGGTTCCGTTTTCAAATTGGTCTACATTAAGGTCCAAAGGGTCCAAAATTAAACTTAGTTTGATTTTAACAAAAATTGAATTTTTAGGGTTCTTTGATATGCTGAATCTAAACATGTATTTAGATTTTTGATTATGGGCCCAGTTTTCAAGTTGGTCGGAATCGGGGTCCAAAATTAAACTTTGTTTGATTTCAACAAAAATTGAATATATAGGGTTCTTTGATATGCTGAATCTAACCATGTATTTAGATTTTTGATTTTTGGGCCCCGTTATCAACTTTGTCCACATTGAGGTCAAAAGGGTCCAAAATTAAACTTTGTTTGATTTCATCAAAAATTGAATTCTTGGGGTTCTTTGATATGCTGAATCTAACCATGTATTTAGATTTTGGATATTGGACCATAATAGGTGAATGTCCAATTTAAAATTTTTAAGTTCTTAGACCACATTCATTCTGTGTCAGAAACCTATGCTGTGTCAAATATTTAATCACAATCCAAATTCAGAGCTGTATCAAGCTTGAATGTTGTGTCCATACTTGCCCCAACTGTTCAGTGTTCGACCTCTGCGGTCGTATCAAGCTGCGCCCTGCGGAGCATTTTATTCAGATACTATAAGAAACGTTAAATACATTTGGTGTATGAAATAAATGTAAGGTTTACATGGCTGTCTGGCAGGCTTCATCTGACCTTCTCCTCATTTTCATGGTTCATTGGTCAATGATAGGTTTTGTGATTATGTCAGTTTATCAGATACTATAAACAATAGTGTTGTGGAGTGATTTGTTACGCCAACATTAGAATTAAAACACAAACCCAACTGAATGATCTATCCTTTAATATTCCATATGCATTATTTTACATCATTTAATATCTGTTAACATCTAAACAATAATATAAATGTTCTTGGTTATATATAAATATATATCTCCGTTAACTCCATTGCACGATTTTATAATGATTAAATAACAAAAGAAAAATACAATTGAAGGAGTCAAATTATATTCTTTCAAACGGAGTTACAGGTAAATAAAGAGGAGTCAAAGTTTTGTTACCAATAGGTCAACAATAATTGGTGTCGTGAATGATTGTAAGATGTGCATGTCTGTGTGGCAGGGTTGATATTACCTTGACATCATTTTCATGGTTCATTGGTATGAAATGTTAAGATTTTGTGGTTTGATCTGTTTCTCTGGTACTATATGGTACAAGACCACTATATTTGGTGTATGGAATGATTGTTAGGTGTACATGTCTGTCTGACATGGTTCATCTGACCATGACTTCATTTTAATGGATAATGTTAAGTTTATGTGATAGTTGTAGTAAAACCTTCATATTACAGACTTTCAACATGAATCCAATCATATAAGTAAAATAGGCAAGATATTTCAGCGTGTACACTCTTTTTTAGGATTGCTAGTTTTCCTGTCAAAGGTTGTTGGTTCACTCAATGTACTCCAGTTCCTTAACGATGATATGAGACTCAAACTTTCATTTATTTGTTCATTCTCAATAACTTTACTCTTAAGATTTTATCTTTCAATTGTCATTTATGCTGCACATCTAGCATGTCACAAACAAATGATGCATTAAGAATCTATGAAGATATTTTTTTACAAAGTAATTCTAAAACATGAGAATGGTTGATAGCAAGGACTATCAGCTTGGTTTAATGAGAAGATTCACATGAACATATATTCCAATTGATTTAATTATACCATACTTATCCATTAAATACTAGTAAATGTACTTTTAAAAATAAAAGTATATTAACTGGACAAAATATCAAGAATTAACGAAATAAATTCTATAAAACTTATTAAAAACACTTCCATATAAACTGTGAAAAACTTCTGAAAGGTAAATGCCACATTTTCTTGATTTTCTTTACAGTTATGTTCATTCATATTTCACTGGAAAACATGGTATTTCTTAACAGAAACTTCTTGTTGAGTGTATCTCATTAGCCAAATAAGACATTTGGTCATTTGCGATAGTATAATGTAAGAACATGTCATGACAGTCAACTGAATAATTTCTTATAAATTAAAATAAGGAGATCTGGTTTGATTGCCAATGAAACAACTATCCATCAGAGGCCAAAGGACAAGGTTGTTAATATCTTTAGGCGAACCCATAGCATATAGTAAGGTCTAACAGTTCCCGACATCACAAAATATTTATCAATTCAGAAGAGAAAACCAACGGCCTGATTTTGTGAAAAACATGTTTCTTTCGAAGGTAAAATATTTCATCAAATTTGGCGATAGTTACCTTTTCTTGGTATTGTAGTCCAAATCAAGAGAAAACTTGTATTCCAAAAAAATTTATGTATTTAATATTTTCTTATAGCTTGACATTTTCTAATTTTTTCAATTTTAAGTTATTATAAAAAAAAACAAATTTTAAAGAATGACCTTCTGCTAATCACATATAACAACAGTACATATTTGCAATCTTTTCTTGAAATGGTTGCTAACTGCATTTTAGCAAGGTCTTGTTAATTTCTGGAGGCACTCTTCATGTGGAATAATAAATTGCACCTAGAACACTATCTGCTATCTTTATCTAACGAATAAATTTACAGAGGGATATTTCGTGCAATGACGATTTCATTTCAGGTCTCTTTTCTTCACTTTCTGGGGTTTGCAGTTTATAAATGGAAGATAAGTTACATTTTTTGTTAATATTTTCATAAAATTTACACAAACATAATTGTAATTTTTAGCAACAGTATAAAAACAATATTATGTCAATGTAGGAAAAATATACACTTTTTTGGATTCAGCCCGACATTAAAGTATTTGGTAAACCTCCCCTTCCCCAGTTAGCCTCATACACATTTTTTTTTTATATATTTCTGACATTGACCTGTCACTTGTGTCAAAATTATATATTTTTCAGACAGATCAATGTTTTGGAAAAGTATTACAAATATTACTAGTTAAGGGGGTACCCAACACTTTGACTAAAATAGATTTGGCTCGTGTAATTTTCATAAAATTTAGACAACATATCTATTTTGACCTGTTGACAAACATGAAAATTTCAAGAAGTTTGAACCACACAATTTACAGGAATAATTTCATTGGATATATAGCAGTTTGACAAACACTATTTTTGATCATTAAGACGCTTGATTTTTCTTTACAAATTGTAGGTGATGAAAACGTTCAGAGCTAATTTTAAAGAGTTTACTCCCTTAGGTGTTCTATACCTCCTAAATATAGTATATGCTTTTTATATCTTGAACTACAAGCAAAATAAAATTCTAAAATGTATAATGGTAAAAAGAACACATTCAAAATTTCTCTTTTTTACAACGTCCACAACATGAACAGTTATAAACATTTGGATCAAAGTTAGGAAGTATTGGAATATATTTCAACCATGTTACATGTTTCAGTAATTTTGAAATAGAAAGTATTTCATAAACTGTCACATCTTCTTCATAATCACAATCAGAAATTTCTTCTAAAACTTGATTAGAGGTATGCCACTCTGCTAAACCTCGCTCTAATTTTGACCCTGAAAGAGAGTTACTCAAACAAATGATATTTGGTAAAAAAACAGAAAGAAAATATATGCCTACATTAAAGGTTCGAAAAATTTATGAAATCAAGTTTTTTTTTCACTATATGTAAGCTATCCTTGCATTTAAGCTTATCTTTTGTATATTATCGTATGCATTCGTAAAATGAATTGTGATAGGTCATATATGAGTTTTTTTCTTGTCTAAGATTGCTAGAACACAAAGTAGTCTCAGTTCTTTTGAACCATCGTTTAACTTATTGAATTTATAAATGTTGTTTTACACGTTGCTGTGGTTAATAAGTCCTGCTTTTGCAAAGTACACATACAAGAAATGACGCTGCTGATTAAATAGATACAAGGAATCCATTTGTTTGGATGATTGGGTCTCAAAGGGTTGTTATCATTTTATACTGCATTGTCAAGTATAATAAATTTTATGCTATTATTTTGGTTTCAATAGCATTATTTATAAAGTCTGTTTGTTTTGCTCACATATTGTTGTCAATATAATGGAATTATATACGACTGTCATAGAAGAGAGAGGTTTAGCTAGCTATAAAATCAGGTTTAATCTACCATTTTCTACATAAGGAAATGCCTGTACCAAGTCAGGAATATGACAGTTGTTTTCCATTTATTTGAGCTTTTTGATTTTGCTATTTAATTAAGGACTTTCCGTTTTGATTTTTTCATGGAGTTCGGTATCATTGTTATTTTACATACTATACATCAAATAGGAATTCGCACATTGGGACCCTTAAGCTTTCTATATTGCGCTAAATTACCTGAAATTGTATTGTCTAAGAAGAAAGCGACAAATCCACCAATCATTGGATTTGATAGAATAGTTTGTAGCAGGCGATCTAGGTCTGGTAGGCCTACAAAAATGGAAGAAATTTGTACTATCAGTCGTATAACCATAACAAGTTGATGATAATCATGATGACTGCATATTGCAGTATTGTAGTATTTCAACTTCAGAAAGTTAGTAACTGACTTATTTTGTAGTTTTGATGAGGCTGTTCATATCTTGTAGCACTTCAACTTGTGATTTAATGCTAAAAATTTCCACTTGAAATACGGCTTCTTAGGATAGAATTAAGATATTAAATTGCAGTGGACGGGGACTGAAGACATCGTTGTGTATCGATATACTAAGAGTATTATTTATTTTGGAGTAAAAATTGTCAAAATACACAATAACGGTAAACAACTCAGTAACTAATTCAATTAAAAAAAATCGAATCGCGAGAAAATGTTTGAAAGCTTAAGATGCTGTGTATCTATTGGTTTGATTATTAATATAGTGTATACTAGTTTTTCGTTTATTGTTTTTGTCATAAATCAGACAGTAAGTTTTCTCATTTTAAATGTTTTACACTTTGTCATCCAGGGAGGTCTTTTACAGTTAACTTCCAATACGAGCTTTCCTCAATTGTTAAAAGCCGTAATTAATTGTTTACATTCTATTCCTTTAATCTCTAATGGATAATTTTCTCATTGGTAATCAAACGACATCTTCTTATTTTTTTTATGTATATATCTGAGCTATTTGATAAACATACTTTATGACAAGAATTGGAAAAGTTGCATCAATGGTAAACAAAGTATTCATTTAATGCATACATTTACACAATACCACATCAAATAAACTCATAATAAATACTAGAATTAACAAGTTTATAAAATAAAAATATCACCTGTTGAAAGTGACTCTGGATGTTTCTTTGTCCAATTTGGAACCATTAAGCCAATTAACAAAGATATTCCAATGACAGCTAAATTTCTAGAGGAATTTAAGTCTATATACTGGAGGTTTGACATTACAAGTCCAAGAAATGTTCCAAATGCAACAACAGATATGCCTCCAATGACTGGGTCAGGTATAGTAACAAACACAGCAGTAAGTTTTCCTAACACAGAAAACACTATCAAGATAATTGCAAAAACTTGATTAACTCTTCTACTAGCGACCTATAATAAAAGACATTTTAAAATACAATTATTTTTACTGTATTATTACACGTTAACAACGTTGAAGGCCTCATTTTGAGAGCTCGATAAAGTATTATTACAAAAACTTCAATGTGATATTTTAATTATTCAGCTTTATTTTTTTATATTTTGAAACCAAAATGTCAATAGTGAAAAAAATGAATCATTTTTCATTTTTACTAACAATAATTAATATATATACCTATCATTTACTGTTAACAAAAGTTCACTGATTATTTATGAATGTTTGTGTGTTCTGCTTTTGCAAAGATTTAATTTTAAAGTATCTTACGTACTTTTGTCATTCCAATGGTACCAATATTTCCACCAAATGTTGTTGTAGCATGTCCTGCTCCAAAAAATCCAGCTATCATACTCATGAAGCCCTCAAATGCTATCCCACGATTCACTGCATGGAGTGGTGGTGGAGGAACATGGGACATTTTTGAACATGCGTAGTAATCGGCTATCGAGTCTATAATTGAAGTCAGTGTTGCAGTAACAAATGCCACAAACACACCACCATCAAAACCAATTGATCCAAATTGACCTAGGTTGAGAAAAGTTCGACATTTTAACGCCTTCGTGTATATTTGACAGAAGGAAAATAAAATAATATACTGTCATTGTTTCAGTATATTTTAAAATAGAGGTCAAATATACTAAGATACTGACAGTTTTTCTCCAATGTCAATCAGAAAAGAAGGATAATTACTTCACGCAAGAATGTAGACTGTTTGTCGAAAAACATATCAATAAAATTTGGTCGTATTCCATTTTTTTGTGCATATTTAGAATGTCACAACATTATAGGATTAATGATGTGTCATATTCGTATTTTCTTATTTTTCTAGTATCATTATTATAGTCATGCATCATGTATGGACCATGACGAGATCGGTTATAAATAATGCATATTTTAAGGTTTTTCTTGTCGTAGAACACACCGAGGGGTGTGTTCTACGACAAGAAAAAACTTAAAATATGCATTATCTGACTTATATACCGTCGAAAAATATTCTGTTTTTTACGATTTTCCAGAAATTTATATCCTATTTTACAGATCATTAAAGTGGGAGGAGATTCTGCTCAAATGAGTCTGGTTATAACCACGCCCAACATTTCAATTATAATGTATATGCAAATAAGGTGAAAATAATTCACTAAAATAAAACTCACTAATTAAGATATAAAAGTGTGTAATCATTGTCCAGTTATATTAAAATAAATCCGCATTACGACCATGGATGATATAGATTTGTTAGAGTGGGACCCGATTTTTCTTACGCAAAGTTCGTATTCTAAAGTATGTGAAGAAGAAGAAAGTGATATTCTAAGTTATTTTGATTTAAAACAAAGTGATAATGATTTGGTAATTACCCGTAATCAATTTAGACATGGTCAACCAGAGACAGCAAAATCCCTTCAAAACAAGATTAAGGAATCGGTGCCGAAAAATTAAGTCAAAAAATATAAATGGAATTATAATGTTTTCAATAGTTGGCAAGCCGAGCGCCGTTTACGTCCAATATCAGATAATTTAGGAATTCCTCCGAATTGTTTGGAAAAGGATTTGGTACACATGGACAAAACAGAACTGTCCACTTCGTTAGAATATTTTATTGTCGAGGCCAAAAAAAACGATGGAGGTAAATATCCGTCCAACAGTATTTATGACCTGTTTTCCTCAGTACAGCGATATATTCGTCATCAAAAATCATCTAGTATAAACTTTTTCACGGATCCCGAATTTCTTCGGGCTAGACAAGTGTTAGATGCTGTCATGAAAGAAAGGGCCACTGAAGGTCTCGGTGCAAATACGCGCAAGCAGGCTGATGTGATATCGGTAAATGAAGAAACGGCATTATATGATAAGGGTATCCTTGGCGTTGATAATCCCCAACAACTTCTAGACACGTTGCTTTATTTGTGTGGTTTGCATTTTGCATTAAGGGGAGGCAATGAACACCGACGGCTCAGACTTAATTCTAATCCGCAAGTAACTGGCCCGTTTCAAGATAAGGATGCTAAATTAAGATACCTGTTGTACAAAGAGGACGTTTCAAAAGCTAACGCAGGTGGCCTTAAGCACTTAAAAGTTGCTCCAAAATGTGTCCAAGCATTTGAAAACCCAGAATACAGGAATAAATGTATTATTACAGTATTTGAAAGTACAAGTCACTTTGGTCAGTAGCTTATTATTTATAAATAACTTTTTAAAATGGGGGTGGGGGTGGGGGAAGGGCGCTTATATTTAACGCGTTAAGCCAGATTATTTTTCAACACTTACAAAAAAACAAACCCTGAAAAAATGGTATTCCTAATACGTGATGATGACAATAGAAGAGGGGCGGAAGATACCAGAGGGACATTCAATCTCATAGATCGAAAATTAACTGACAACGTCAATGGTATCCCCCCTCCCCCAAATATAAAATATGAATCCCTCTCTGTGCCGATTTCCTTATAAAGGTATAGAACATGAGACAGTATGAAAATTCAATCGTGTAAAGAATATACAAACAATGTATAGAACTTTTAATAAAAACTTTTAAAAAAAACAAAGGCAGCAGAAAATCGTCTAATGTACATGTAACACATCAAAACACAAAACACAAAACAGACATCCAAAGGTCGCATTAAATTTTCCAATACGAATCCACAGGATTTTATACTGTTTTCTTTAATATATCTTCTCATGCTTGAATATGATAAAATCTGAAATATTTGTTTTAGAAGTGTTTTGAACAGTTTTTCGTGGTTGATCTAATCTAACGTAATGTCCTTTTAATTTACCTATAATTTAAATCATCTTTACATTATTACATTATGTGTGTTTAAAGTAAAATTTTACATTACGTTTTCTGGTATTTCAGTCCAACAAATGGAGGAAAGGATTGTTTTTACCTTACACCTTTAAAACATGTCAAAGATGGACAATGGTATAGCAAAACTCCTATTGGACACAACACTTTACAAGGCACTGTGAAACGGTTGTGCACAAGTATTGGACTAACTGGAAAACGTACAAACCATAGCCTCCGAGCATCAGCAGCTACACGTCTTTATAATGCTGGCATACAAGAACAACATGTGGCCGAAACAACAGGTAATATAATAGTAAAATGAAACGTTATAATTTCTAGTCTTTTGTCTTTAATATTCTTATTTAGCACACACAAAATGGCATGAAAAAAAACACGAAGGTTTTCCTTGTCTGCATGCTATTACCCAATATCTGTTCTTTTTCACTGTTGTTTCAATTGCTTTAATAGAGAACTGATGATTGTAAGAAAAATGTATAATTATCTTTGTACAGAGACATCAGGAAACGTATTAAGATAAAGGATTGTATCTGTCCCGATCACGAATATTTGGGTAATCAGATTTACTATTACTTGCCCGCTCGTCTGTTTGTCCGGCATGCTTGAGTTACTGGTCAAATTTTGAGTTTTATTCCATTTATTGTGGTTTATGAATATGCAGGTCAATAAAAAAGTGCTAACGTAAACACAAAAATAATTATAAGCTATGTATTGCATTCATCGTAATAAAGCAGTAAGAGTTTACAAAAGGACTTCTGCCGATCAACAAATAGAGGCATCGAACATCTTGTATGGATTAAGACCGTCAGATGGAAGTAAGAAGGCAAAACCATCAGCAGCTGCCGGTGCACCAGTTGGTAGTACTTCGGTTGAATGTTCAACAGACGAGAGTGACAAAAAAATGTGACTTGCAACTTTTCTTTTAATTTTTCGCATGTAAAATAAAATGAATAAAATCTGTTAACAAACAGTTACAGCAGTATTTTAATCAGGATAAAATAATGACTTGACACAAGTCATTATTTTAAGCCTTGGAGCACATTTCATTGAAAAATGGTATCGTCCGGGTTGATTCTGCAAAAGAATGACCTATCGTTCAGAAAGAAAATAACTCCATATAGGTATATAAATTCGAATAAACAAGGTTATTTCATATACATAAAAATATTTCACAAGAAAGTTCAACAATATTTTTATACAAGAATTTGGAATAACCAATGTATCGAATGTACCTGATATATTCTGTTTATTTGGTGGGGAAAACGCTTGTTATGATCACCATTTGAACAATTTGTGCATGTTTTGTTATTACAGTTTATGCCTGTTCTATAGCCAGCAAGGGTCATTTATTGTTGCACCGATTTATTCGAAGTGAAATGTTTATTAGTATCTGGCCACTGCTGCATTACATCTTGGTTACCGTGCAAATTACAGAAAGTATGATTTTTAATGGAGGTTACTTAAAATTGTATTACTGTTAACCTGCCTCTGCTACATATTTAAGAGATTACGTTGGAAGAGCCATTAATACAATTATCGTTTTTTTATTCTTTTCACCTTTAACTGCACCACAACTTAGTATTTTTTAAATAAGCAAAAATTCCAAATTGTGTCTTGCTTCTATCCAAGAATTATATGCCATTACTATGGCTGATGTAATAAATCTAAGTACACTGTACGGGTCTGCCCTAACCTGGATATGGGACATAGAACCATGGTGTTTTATTGATGGTACCAATACCATAGTCTGCTCTTGCTTTATACTGTTCACTGTTCGGGTCATCCGAAATAGAATTGGTACTAGTCATGATTCCAGATTCTGTCCAACCAATCATCATTGCCAGAAGAATCTGAATACATAAAATGAATAAGTAACAACGTATTTTTATTGTTTCCACATTAAAGGATATCATGTGCAAGTAATTTCCATTTCAAAGTCAACGCCTTTACAACCCCTTCAATCTAAAAAAGTAAGATTTGATTCTTACAGTTACAGTTTCACGTTAAAACCATGAAATTACGAAAATTTTATTTGATTGATATTGTAGTCATGGAGATAACGTGGATCCATGGATGCTGTATTTCATTGGGAAATATAACAATACTATAGAACACCACGTGATTATTTTCTAACCATGAAATGTAATTATATACGATTGAAACTTAAGAAACAAAACAAAAGCTTGCAGATTTTCCTTTTAAACAAACTTGCATTTACATGGCTTCTGCGAAAGTTAAACGCCTCGCCGGTCTTGTTGTAGCGTACTCGCCTCTAATGTGCAAGGTCCTGGGTTCGATCAACGTATGGTACCGATCAAACCAAAGACTAGAATATTGGTATTCGCCGCTTCCCTGCTAATTCCACAGCATTAAGGAATAAGAGCAAAGTCCCGATGGCTCAGAGTCAGAATAAAGTTACTAACAGTAACTAATGTGAACTAACAGTACAAGTTATAAACCCTACTATGTATGTCGGTCTAGTACAAAGTATGGTTCATATTCAAATCACATTAACATTGTCTCGTTCTGATATGCACTTAACGGCTGTCACTGGACGTTAAACGTAAATCCATCATCATTTCCGATAGTTTCTCTTTGTGAAATTGCTGCTGGGAACGTATTAGAGGGAGGGGTTGAGGACGCGTATATAATTACATATTTGCACGTTTCATCATCCATTGATTAATTATGACTTACAGCTAACACTTGTTGTAACGGGAATCTTATGATGTGACAACCTTGTGATCTAGACCATACTGGTAATGGCATGGCCCATCCTCCTAGATATACCTCTAATATGATACCTATAGCTGCCGTTCTGCAAATACATGATAACTAAATTTAAAATATTACGTTTATAAGATTCTCTTTATCTTTCTGTGTCATTGCAGCTTGTAAGTCAGGTAATACTTATAAAGTTGAGAGACTAAAAACAATATCTGATTCTAATTTATTCATCTTAAAGTGAGCATGAATGAGTATACTGTAATACAACAATACACTTCCTTAACAATTAAAGTAAAAAAAGTTTAAACAACAGTGAACAAACGTTTTTTAATGCCACCAAAGAAAAGAATATCATTTTGTTGAAAAGCTTTATTCTCCGTTGTGATCCGTGGCAGTGAAAAATATCTATAAGGTTTCAGCAGCACCACTTACATGGCTGATATGCCCAAATGAGCGTCGCAGAGACCTGTGGCAATTGTGTTGAATTCTATTCCAATAAGAAGCAATGTTGGAATAACTGTTATTGGACCTATAAATTTTAACAGTAATCCGACCAGTCCCGTCAATCCTATTAAACAATGTAACAATCCTGCAAATATAAGACTTCCTTGGAGCTGCAAATACAATATGTAATGGTTGATTAAATTAAGGTTAATGACAATCAACAGCTGCATCATATTATATAATTATTTAAAACACCATGTGTACTTTAGAAAAGTTATTTATAGTATACCTAAACAAATAAACTTATTAATTAATGCATTAATTAATTATGAATGGTCAAAATCTAAATAAAAAATAAAGAAATACATCCATAATTAATATTCGACAAAAAATGAGGAAATTGAACAGTTAAATATATCAAGAAATCTCTATCTGAACATTACTTTTGACCGTTTTTTATTTAATTATTTGAAATATCAATTTTGTATGTGACTTTTGTCTAAAATATCAGTCTACAACGAAAACAGATAATTCCATATTACCGTCTGTAATCTTGGGTATATGTAATCTGAGCGTAACCTTTCAAGATCAAATGTATCATTCCCCATTGTAAACAACCTCTCTGTGAAAAAGAAATATGTGATAAACGTTATCCATATAAGATATTTACAGTGTTTTTTTTTTATAAATAATTGAAACATTTCTGTGAATTGATTGAAATCTACAAGGAAGTTTCGAGATTTACCTTTACCTTTTGCTTTTACACAAGAAGGGTTTGGGTTTTTTGTTTGTTGTGGTAAGTTTTGTTTTGCTTTACATTGTAGATCTTCCATTGATACGGTATTTTTTGGTAAATTTACTATTAGCCAAATGTTGAATTATATGAAACACTAAGATTTTGTTTCCCCGGGAATAGATGGCCTGATCTAGATTTGGTACTATTCTTTATTTATTTTTTTCGTTTTCAATGCCTTCCATGTCATTTTTTAAATTAGCTTTCCATTGTTTTGATTGGATAGTCACTGATGATTTTAATGCAGATGAAACATGCGTTTGGCGTTTTAAATATTAGCCTGCTTTCTTTGATGAGCTTTTACAACCACTGAGTCGGTTCCATTGTTGGTAGACGTTCCGTCCCAAAAGGTACCAGCAACGTAGCAGCTAACGCTTTTGTCTGGACATAAATTATCATTAAATAAATAAGTATATAATCTTTATTTCAAGAGGATAACTCATTAGCAAAAGCAAATCCTCCTCCGGGTCATAAGTATCATTTAAACGGTCGTTTTCATAAGGTAACTGTTAATAAAATGCTGAATTATTCAAAACAACACCCCTCCTCAAACCCCACGTCATAGATGACCTAAGCTGTAATTGTTTAGAATTTATGGTTTATAATGCAAACTAGCTTAGTATTTGATTTAGCATTCTAGTAAATCTTAAATGATGTGACACTGATGTTCATTATATTGACGAAACGCGCATCTGGCGTAATTAGTTATAAGTCTGATATCTTTGATGATGAAAGTGTACAATTATTGGATCAACGCCACTGCTGGCGGACGTTTTTCCAGTCCAGTAGTCAGCATACCAGTGTTGACATGAAATTTCATTGATAAGGTAATTTCGTTTTACTGTGAATAACAAAAGAGACGGAAGATACCGAGGGAACATTAAAAACATTAAAAAAAGTCGAAGAGAAACTGACAACGCAATAAAAAAAAGACGAGAGAACAAGTCCACAAAACACTGTAAAGAAAACTAAAGACCGAGAAACACGAACCCCATTAAACTTGGTGAAGTTTTTTTTACCCCAAGTGATATATGGCCAGGTTTGGCTCAATATATTTGAGAATGTTTTGTTTTCAATGCTCACAAACTGCGTATTTGAATTGGTATTCCAGCTTCTTTGTTTCATGTATGACTCAAAGCTTAGTATATGACTCTCGTCTTAGTTTATACATTAGCTGTTATTTATGCGACATACGCATAAGCAGACAGACTTATTCCTAAATTTTTTTGCACCCCTATTCCCAGACTTATTTTTGAACTCATATGAAGCAAAATTCACACAAAACCTTCTTAGAGATAAAACAAAATAAAAAATGTATATATATATTGCTGATTTCAATGAGTGCTTATATCTTATATATCTAGAAGATATGTTTCCTATCTTGACCTTTCCTCGAAATTAACACAGACGGAAGACTTCAAAATAAAATTAATGACAAACGTGATGATTTCAACTTTCCATTGCTCAGCAGTAACACCATCTGCCACATCGTATGGCGTTTACATACTTCAATAGATTCATTACGCTTGTGCATTTTCCCACTATTCCGACTTCATTAGCAGGAGGCGTGCTCCTTAAACAAAAACTGCTCCAACAGAGTTATGGGAAAAAGAACGACCGCAATCTACACTACATAAGTTTTATGGTTTTATGGTCACCATCAAGAATTAGTTAACCGATACGACAAGTCTGTGTCTTAACTCACTAGCGACATGTTTTCGCATTCTTCGATCTTTTGAAAATACTAGAATAGTCTCTAATCTGTAATTTTACCGATTGTGTGAAAACTCCCCAGGCTCGTTAATTTATTACACCAGACGTGCGTTTGGTAGACATAAAAAACACCAGTGGCAATTAAATCGAAGATGTTTGAAGGCCAAAACATCAATTACAAAGTTGAAACGCATTAAAAACCAAAGATTCCGAAAGGTTGTGTCAAAAACGGCAATATATGCTTGGGAGTAGAAAATCCAAGTGTTTCGAATAATTCAATAACAGTGACATCAACTCAGTGTTTGTAAAATTATCATGTCTATTCCCTTGACATCTCTTAAACAATTACAATTTACCTGTGCTATTATTGCCTACAGCATCTTTTGGACACATCCACTCGGGTAGTGATGCTAATGCTAAAATGGGTATAACATATGCTTGAGTAGGACCTTGGAAAACTGGTAATCTGTAATTAATGATTTAATTTATTTATGATACCTGAAATAGCCAATGTATATATGCATATACTGCAGTTGTAGATACTATTTGAGAAAGATTGTGTATCTTGTAAGCTATTTACTATTTTAGCTTTTTATAATGACTTGCTTTAGAAAGGGATTAATTTTTTTGTGAGTTTAACTACAATAGAGCTCTTTTTGTTGAGCCAAAAGATGTAAATATGAAACAATTACTGATCACCGCACTGTCATCAATAATTAACAAACATAATACTGTATTGTAAGCTTTAAAAGGTCTAGGCATGATAAGATGTGAAAATATCTAAGTCGGAACACAAATACAAATATGACAGTGTATGAAATGTGTCTGTATTTATCAGGTCAATGAGTGCTCAACTCCCCATAAACTCGAGGGAGTGGTGCAAAAGCACAACACAAGAAAAAACCATAAAAATTATTTATGTGCAGCTATGTCTATGAAAGGGAGTAAATTTTGTTAAAATCATACATTTGATTTGAATGAACGATGGAAATTTACAAAACTGCCAATCACATAACTCCTCATCATTCAAATGTTTTATATCACGATATTTCGGTTCTTTGATTAACATATTTCGAAGAGAAGTGTTGTTGATAATGTTAATGTCACCAATACTAACGTGACCAGCCGGATTATATATGAACGGGGAACTAGCACATGTACAACCAGTAGGTTTAGACTTAAAGTAGTCAATATTTCGATCCTGCAACACGTGTTTATATAATTGAAAACCATACCAAAAGTGTGGTATAGGTATATGATATGATAGGAGGAGACTTGTTTTTTTTTGATAGAACTGATCTATGATGAAGGATATTGCCTAAATGGTGGGGTCTAGACCTTTGTTGGCAAAGGAAAATTTTAGAATAGATCGTTTCTCTGTAACATCTTTCCCAATGTCAACTTGTCTGAAAAGTCTGTGCCTGGCAGTATGCGATATAACAACATTTAAGTTTTTATAGTTTTGAATGTGCATTTGTAACGGCGGTTTTCAAGCATAAGTTGTGCAAAGAATGAAGTTTCGAAATGGGAAGTGAATATAGCTTTGTGCGGATGGGATGAATACTCAACGGCCTTTGTATGATTGGAATAAAGCTTTTCTATATACTAGTAATTGAAAACCATACCAAAGTTGTGGTATAGGTATGAGATATGATAAGAACAGACTGATTTTTTTAATTAGGAATGTATTTTCGTATAATTGGCAAAAGGTCACCAATGGAAACATCATGAAGAGAAGATGATGTAAAATGACGATGATTTTGGCTGCTACTAACTCGAGGAGCAGGGTTTAAAATAGTCATCATTTTCACCGAGCTGCAGGAAGGGCTAGATAGAACCTATTTACCATCAATATTGTCATTTCAAATATTATTACGACTTAAGTTCAAACGCCTAATATCTTTGTTCCAAGCTATACCTTAACCTATATTTATCTGATTCTCTTACCATGAAAACTTGACAAAGGTTTTTTGTTCGACTTGTTAAATAAGTGAATTTTGTCAATACTGATGTCGAATGTAATCAGAACAGTAGTCCGAATATAATCGGAACAGTAGTACAAATGTAATCGGAACAGTAGTACGAATGTAATCTGAACAGTAGT